CTGATGCAAAGAACCTACTCATTTGAAAAGACCCTGATGCTGGGAAAGATTGAAGGCAGGAGGAGAAGGGGATGACAGAGGATGAGATGGTTGGATGGCATCACCAACTCGATGGACATGAGTTTGAGTAAACTCCAGGAGTTGGTGATGGACAGGGAGGCCTGGCATGCTGCAGTCCATCGGGTCTCAAAGAGTCGGACATGACTGAGTGACTGAACTGTAACTTATTATACTGATATTTCACCTGTGTGTATTAGGAGCCTAAACTGTGACAGATTTTAGAATTTAGAGAAGACTTAGGTGCTATCCTTGGGACAATAGGGTCAGGAGAGATTTTTTTTTCTTTTTGGAAGTTGCTGAGAGAGGGCGTATATGTGAGGGAGATGCCTCTCCCAGGTTCTCCAGCCTGGGTTTCTAGGTGGGTATATCTTGTACTGTCTCAGACAGATCCTTTACACAGTGGTCACCCCCACTGGTGACATCTCAGTGCCTCTCAACCCCAGGGCAACATGGGGCAGCCAGGCCAAGGCCTCCAGTGCTGGAGCCCCGGGCCTACCCCTCCCCACCTGGTGTGGCGCACAAGCCTAACCATCTCTGACTGGAGTGACATGCTGTTTCTTTTGAGCTCTGAAATGCTGGGGCTTGAAAATCTTCCTCTTGAGGCACTTCCGTCCTCCTGTTGGTTCCTGCCTGATCCATCCACTAGGGAGGCAGGAGCCAGTCTAGAGGCTGGGCCCCGCCCCAGGCTAAACTGAATGTGTTGCGGGTAAGTCTCAAGAGTTCACCTGGCAACCTCTGAAGTTCACCTCATTGTCAGCCGGTAATTCAAGGCGTACAGAGCTTGGGGAAATGTGCCTGCTGAGTGAGGGACCCTGAGTCCCCCTCCTTCCTGCATGACCCTAAATCTCTTAGGGTCATTGTCCTCTCACCCACTGCATCAGGTTTCAGATCCAAGGCGAAGAGCTGGGCAGGGCAGGTAGCTCCAGCCAATCCGGGTCGCTCCCCCCCAACCCTACCCGCTCCTGTGGAGAACCTACTGTGCGCGCAGCACCCACGTCAGGTCTTTAATCCCCCTGACAGCTCGGGGAGTGGGTACCACTATTCTCCCCTCTTCGTAGAGCATACAGCTCAGCGGGGTGGTGAAATGCCTCGCTCCAGGTCAGAGGGAATGGGGCGGGGGGGCAGTTGCCGCCAGCCCCTGCCCTTGGCCGTGCTGACTGGACCTACAGTACCACTCAGCAGGCCTTCCTTCGGGACTCAGGAGATTCACGGTCTTGCCATCGGGGAAACCTGCTGCCCCGGTCAGGCTTCAGGCAGAAAGCACCCTGCTTGCCACCATCCTCTCAGGGCGCCGCCCCAGCTCCAGCCCCGGGACCCCTGTGCTCTACTTACAGCTTTTCCCTCCACACTTATGGTGGGAGACGCGTCCACACAACTCACCGTGTGCACGTCTACGGGGTGGCAGAGTGGGGTGCCTATGATCCTGCTGTGACGGTCCCCACGGGCTGCTGGCCAGACCGCGGAGGGGTGCGTCTGAAGCGTGTGTGCATGTAGGAGGCCCTCTGTGGTCATGGAAAGAACAGCCCTGCAGTCTCACATGCGGGAAGTGCCTAATTTTGAGCCCACCTCGATGGAACGCTGTGTGCATCTGCGTGGGTGTGCCTGCCCCTCCCCCAAGTGAGCGCACCGCGTGCCAAGTTTTCTCAGAGGCCAGTCCTTCCACCAGGGACTCTTAACAGAGACAGTAGTCTGTCTGTAGTCGCCTATGAGAAACTCCACCCCAGTGCATGCTGGGAGAATACTGTGGTCTCCTGTGAGAAACACCGCCCCAGTGCTTGCTGGGTAGGTGCTGTGGTCTGATATGAGAAGCTTCACCCCGGTGCATGCTGGGAGGGTGCTGTGGTCTCCTATGAGAAACTCCACCCGGGTGCATTCTGGGAGGATGCTGTGGTCTCGTGAGAAACTCCGCCCCGGTGCATGCTGGGAGAATGCTGTGGTCTCCTGTGAGAAATACCACCCCAGTGCATGCTGGGAGGATGCTGTGATCTCCTAAGAGAAACACCACCCCGATGCTTGCTGGGTAGGTGCTGTGGTTTGATATGAGAAGCTTCACCCCAGTGCATGCTGGGAGGATGCTGTGGTCTCCTATGAGAAACACCACCCAGATGCTTGCTGGGTAGGTGCTGTGATCTGATATAAGAAACTTCACCCCGGTGCATGCTGGGAGGATGCCGTGGTCTCCTATGAGAAACTCAGCCCCGGTGCATGCTGGAAAGATGCTGTGATCTGATATGAGAAACTTCACCATGATGCATGCTGGGAGGATGCTGTTTGTGGCGACTGTGTGTTACCGTGGTGATGCTGGTTTGAGGGAGACATTTGCTACCTTCTGAGCCTGGGAAGCACACACGTCCAGGCATCAGCTGACAAAACCTATCATTGTCAGAGTGGTGTGTGCCCCGAACTAACACCCACCCCAGTGAGCCTCGCGGAGGTGGTGGAAAAGGGGGGAGGGGGATGATATCGGTTGGGGGTCAGAGCTGGGTAGGGGTGTGGGGTGAATCCTTTTACAGATGCAGCTTATTTGTAATTTAGAGTTAAAAATGTGAAGAGTTCAGACACAGCCAGACTCTAAGGCGCCCTCACCATCCCTCACTTGAGCTGAGCCTTTGGGGAGCAGAGTGGTGTGCCCCAAGATGGCCACCAGGGGACGCTGCTGGGGCGTGAAGGGATTGGCGGGGTGCCTCTTCTGCGACTGTCCTTGTCCCTGCTCAGCCCCAGCTCTGTCCCCACCTGCCCCTCCATGCCCACCTGCTCCTGGGGCGACACGCTGGTGCCGCATGTTCCTCCTCATCACCTTTCTGCACCTCCAGCCAGCCACCCCACCCACCCCCAAGAGCCCCGGACCCGGCTGGACTGGTCACTTCCACGGACTCCTGTGGCTCTGATTTGGGTACTTTGGGGCAGCTCTGCCCCACTCTACTGGCATGTTATGAGGAGAATGCTGTGTGAGTTAAACATTTTTCCCTGTGTTTTTTTTTTTTTAAAGACATCTTCCTAATGGGACACACATCCATCCATTCTTTTTTATGTATGTTTGTTGTGGTCAAGTCCATCCGTTCTTGTGATGGTCGCTGAGTGCCTGCTGTGTGCTGTCGCTGGTGGCACCAAGATGCCCTGTGATGAACGTGTGAGCTGCCTCCTGGTCTGGGTGCAGCCCTGCGCTCTGGGAGGTGCAGGGCCCCGTTTCTGGGGCTCAGTGTCTCCTCCATGAAATGGGGCAGCTGCACAGGCTCCCCAGTGTGCCGTGTGCCTCCACTCACTGAGGCCTGCAGGGGGTTGGCACACACGGTCTCCGAGTTGCCCCTGGTCCCCTGCTCTCTGGACCTCACCCCTCAGAGCTGTGCGCCTTTTCCTTCATCTCTGCCAAATCCATGGAAAGCATCTCGCTGGCCCAGAAACCCATGTCTCAGCAGCATGTTCTTGGTCCTCATATAGGCATCTTAGGGCCAAGCTTTAAATATACATGTACACCTTCTGACCCTGCCTGTTTTCCACACCAAACCATCATGACAACCACGAAGCCGCACCAGGAGGCCCTTGCCAGGATAAACAGTCACGGGCAGCCAGAGGAGTGATGTGAGGAGGCCTGCCCTCGTCCCTGCCAGCTGCCAGCCTTCCTCTGCCCCAGAGGAGGGGAGGAGAGGAAAGAGGACTGGGCTGGCCTGGGTGTGGAGCTGCTTCTCAGGAAAGGTGCCCCCGAGGCTCTGGGAGGGCCGGGCACCTGGCTCCCTGCCCCCCTCTGCTCCTGCCTCGCTGAGAAGGCAGGCTGAGCAGCCACCAGCCCGACTTAGTCTTGGGAAAAATGCTTCCTGAATTCAAAGATGTCCCCTGTGGCAGCTTTTAGAGCCGCGCACTCCTGCTGGGTTTGGGTGGGTGGGGGGCTGATGGGCTCTAGGGTGAGACCCCAGGGGGTCTGGTTGGGGCAGTTGCCTGGGGGTCAGAGCTCTTGGGTTTTCTCTGTTGCTTTGCTGTGGGCCCCTGACTCTCCCAGGTCGCCTTTCAGGGGGCATTGAGGGAGGTACCTACATTCAATGACTGGTCCAAGGTCCAGGAGAAGCCGTGGGTTGGGCGGACTTCACAGAGGCTTCCTGGCTGGAGTGCGGGAGTGAAGGGGATGTTCTGGAGTGTCTTCACACTCATTACCCTTGGTCTTTCGGATGCTCTTCACCTAGGAAGGCAATGGGGTCTGTTTCTGTTCGCTGTGGTCGCCTCTCCTCTGCTGAGGTGATGTCCTGCCTGCAAACCATGGCCGACCCTACAGCCCTGATCCTTCAGGAGTCTGCACTGGGGCTGTGCCTCGCACGCTCGCCCGGAGGCACACCGCTGGGCTGGGGGCTGCATGCGCAGCCTTCCCGTGACTGCTCGCTGCCCCTCCCCACCGCATCTCCGGGCTGGACAGACTCTGCCCTGCACGTCGATGGTCTCTGCAGGCGCCCCCAGCCGAGGCCTGATGCCGGCTCCCACCAGCTTCTAGTGCCAGCCCCCAGCCCAGTTCTCTGGCTCTGGGCTCAGCGACATCACGGCACCTTCGCAGAGTGCTTCTGCCCCGGAGACTGGCCAGCACCACACATCTGGGCACCCCCGCCTCCAAGAGCCAGGGTGAAACATCAACCCATGCACCACGGCAGGCTGGGTATTGAGCAGACGTTCCGATTAACCCCAACCACGGAGGCCTGGCCTGGAACCTCTTCTAGGAGAAGCAGGGCCCCCCAAAGTGATGCGGGCCAGTGTGGTCCTATGGGTGTCTGGGACGACACTGAAGGCTGGTGCCCCCGGCCCTGGAAGGGACCTCAGGGGCTCAGGGGCATGTCCCAGGCCCTTAGGAAGGCCTGAGAGGCAGAGTCATGTCCCAGAACTCGTCCAGGGATGCAGCTTCCGGCCACCTCCAACTCGGCAGTAAGTCCTCCCCACTCACCCAGCTCCTCTCCTCCCTCCAGACCCTGAGTCCCAGAGAAAGAGGACTGTGCAGAACGTCCTGGATCTGCGCCAGAACCTGGAGGAGACCATGTCCAGCCTGCGAGGGTCCCAGGTGACTCACAGGTAAGAACCCACTGCCCCTCCTTCCCTCTGTGGAGGGCGGGCACACCACCTGGGCCAGGGCAACGGGCACTGAGTCCACAGGGGGAGTGCTCCCTTGCCTGGCGTCTGCTTCTTCTGGAGACTTGGATTCCATCTCGTCAGGCTGGAGCCTTGCTGGATACCATCCCGTCCTCGTGGGGTGGTGGTGACTGTGAAGTGGAGCTGAGTCTGGCCTCAGTGGCTCCCAGCTCCCTTGCTGAGATCCCCTTCTCCCTCCTTCCCACATCCCTCCCCGAGCCCCACCCCATCCCCCGCCTGGGACACTCAGCCCATCGCTGCCAGACATCTGAAATATTTCCTGTGATAAGCAGAGTCTCTTGTCTCTGGGATTACCTCTGCTCGATCCAGCAGGATTCTAACTGCTGAAGGGATGTGATGAGGAGGGCTGAGAAGAAAGTGGATGTGGGCTCTGGGAGGCTCTGGGACCCTGTACATCCGTCTCCAGCCTCCAGCCCTCCCAGCCCTAAGCAGGAACCCAAGTGGCACAGGGGTCTGGCTCAGCTCCGCTCACCATTTTGAGGTGGATTAAGTCTTGGATGCCCTCCTTCTCCAGCCAGGGAAGTTGTTGGAACAGCTCAGCCCCACCTTGCCTGCCAGCCCCACCCATGCCAAAGAAGGCCCGCGCGCTGCTCCTGCGGGGTCACACCCCAGGTGTCTCACCCGCAGGGCAAGGGCAGCAGCCCCTGTCTCCTGTCCCCACCCCGACCCCCACACGAAGACAGCTTGGCCCCGGGCAGGCCCTGCTGCTTTCTGCAGGGGACCTGGGAGGCCTCGTGCGTAAAGGCGGCTGGTTAGTGGGCAGCGCCTAGGCCCCTGGCTTGTCTCCCCCTGTGGGAGAGGAACCAAGAGCCCTGAAGCGGCCTTTGTTCACTGTGGACCCAGAGCCACTTCCTCCCTGAGCCTTGGACTCACGTTATTCCTGGTGCACACTCTGATAGCCAAACAATGGCGCCCTCAGCTTTGATGGCTCTTGTACCAAACGCTTTGCATCAGTCAGCCCTCCCTCAGCCCCAGGAGTGGACGAGGTGTGCACACAGGCCCCGGGGAGGGGAGGAGCAGCGGGAGGATGGGGAGAAGGGGCCACGTGCCAGACTCGCCCAGGCTGATCAGGGTGCTTCTGCGTCCAGTGAGCCAGGGCGGCAGTGCCCAGGACAGACACGGGCTGTGTCCTGGAGGAGCTCCCAGCCCGGTGAGCGCGCCCAGCAAGGCGGTTTTCACCCTGCAGTCACAGGCTGCCCGTAGTTTAGTCAAGTTCCTTTTCAGAAATCTTCCCTCCCGTGCTACTTCCCATTTCTCTGGCTCGACTGCCCTTCAGGGAGAGAGTCTGGATCAGGGGCCCGGGGCTGCAGGGGAAGTGAGACTGCCCCCGCCCCCAGCCCGCTCTGGCCCATCACGCCATCCACCCCACACACATCCTCCCAGAGAGGAGCAAAATGGAAGGTGGCATCTGGGACTGGAAATCAGGGACCCAGGTTTGAGCTAGAATTTCGGCCACCGACTCAGAGGTGTCTGGAGGTGTGTTTGGGATAAAGATGAGCGGTGAGGTCAGGGCTGCCCCCTCACCGCACTGCCAGGAGAACAGAACTGGGGGCACAGCTGCTCTTGGTGCCAAGTTTGCCCTGAAAACAGGCTTCCCTAGAGCGCCCATCCCGACCAGGGCTGTCACGTCCTCTTCCTTCTCTCCTCGTCTCCTCGTCACGGCAGCTTGTTTTTATTAAGTCCTTACTGCATGAGGCCCAGTCCCAAGTCTCAGGCAGAGAATCCTCCTGCTCGTCTGTCCAGAGCAGCAGGAGTGAGGCCGGCCACCTCCCAGGACCATAGGTGCCCCTTCAGGGAACTTGCATGTTCCCCAAGCTCCACATCATTAGAAAGAGAAAGTACACAAGGCATGAGACGGGCCGGCAGGAGGGCCCAAGGGGAGACGCTGGGCAGCGGCCAGGCCGGGAAGCCTGCTCACTGACTGCCCTGCCGTCTCGGGCCCTGCACACCCACAAGGCTTCTACAGGGACCACCACTGGGCTCACCCTGAGCTCACAAAAGAAAAGAGGTGCTGGACACCCTGAGCAAAGTGGATGATCAAGGCCTACTCTCGGGTGACCCCTCCCACCCCGCCTCATGGGCCCTCCCTGTTTACTGAGCACCTTCTGTATACCAGGCACTCGTGTGTGGTCCTTCCAAATCTGTACATGATGAAGTCGCTGTTGTAGTCTCATCTCCATTGACAGATGAGGAGATGGAGACTCAGGAAAGTTGATGAGGAATCTGGCTCACTAATAAGTAGAGAAGGATTCAAACTGGGGTCATATTACAAAATCTGTGCCCTCAGCAGCCTTCTGCCCACCAGCCTCTTCCTTTGACACCTGTGCTGAGGTGCAGCAGGGCCTACACCCTGAGAGACCTCCTGGAGGCCAGGGGGCTGGGGCAGGAGGGTGGAGGGAGGCACCGCAGGGTGCCTGAGGACCGCGCTTCGGGCTCCCCGCAGGGCCAGAGAGTAACCAGTGCCCTTCTGCCTGCCCAGCTCCCTGGAGATGACTTGCTACGACAGTGACGACGCCAACCCCCGCAGCGTGTCAAGCCTGTCCAACCGCTCGTCGCCCCTTTCCTGGCGCTACGGCCAGTCCAGCCCGCGACTGCAGGCCGGGGACGCGCCGTCAGTGGGCGGCAGCTGCCGCTCGGAGGGGACGCCCGCCTGGTACATGCACGGGGAGCGCGCGCACTACGCACACACCATGCCCATGCGCTCCCCAAGCAAGCTCGGCCACATCTCGCGCCTGGAGCTGGTCGAGTCCCTGGACTCGGAAGACGTGGACCTCAAGTCCGGCTACATGAGCGACAGCGACCTCATGGGCAAGACCATGACGGAGGACGACGACATAACCACTGGGTAAGGGTGGCCTGCGGGCCGCTGGGAGGTGGGCAGTCCGGCGATCGGACGCGGGAAGGGCGGGTGGACGCCGGGGCGGGTGCTGAGCTGTGATCTGGGGCGAGGACCGCGTGCGGGTCCAGGGAAGCAGTGGGGGCGGCGAGGGGGAGCTGATTGGTCAGCGAGGGCGCCGCGTCACTGGCCCCCACAGCTGTCACTCTGTGCCTCGCCCCGCCCTCCTGGTCTCCGCCCCCTGCCAGCGGCAGCTCCCGGCTGCGGCTGCGTGTGGGCCTGGAGCGTCGGGGTGACAGTGCCCCGTCCCGCCGAAAGGCCGCTGGGAGAGAGGCCGACGCGTTTGTTGGCAGCCCTGGCCCGGGGCGCAGCCCTAGCTCCGCTCCCTCCGCGGGGCCCGGCCATGGCGCCCTCTCTCCCCTGTTGTCTCCTGCAAACCTCTGCCGGGGCTACAGCTTCTACTGGACCCAGCCTGTCAAGACCTTCTTTCCCGCCTTCCTCCTCTTGTCTTTTCCTGCCGCTGTAGAGCGGTTTGGGTTTGTGGGGCAACTTGGACAGAGGGGCGGGGGAGCAGTCTGGAAGGCGAGGGGAGAGGGCAGGAGGAGAGGGGTGCTGGGGTCTCGGTGTTCAAGCCAGGAGCGCCCCTGGAGGCTCTCGGGCACCCCCGCCACCCCCACCACCATCTGGCTCCGCTCCCACTCGCCCCTCACACAGGAGGCCGCAGGGCCCCTCCCCGACCCCCCGGGACCACCTCTCCCCAGTAAACAGCTTGAACTGAAGGAGAGTGGGGAGTAGCTGAGGTCCAGGCCATCCACTGCTCCCACCCAGGGGATGTACTGGGAGGACCTGGCAGAGCCGGTCCCACTGACAGGCTGCTCTAAAACAAAACAACTGACTCACCAGCGGGGCTGTTTACTGCCTGTGAGTCCCAGGGGCCAGCTGACCTCACGCTCTGATCGGCCAGCCGGGGGCTGGGACCTGAGACAGCTGTGCACTTCCTCCTGGGTGCGGAGGGTGTGCTGGGCCCCGGGGAGCCTGGTCCCTGCCCCAGGAAGCCCTTCTCCTTCTCTGAGAAAGTGTCAAGTGCTGACCCCTGACAGCACCCAGCTGGACAGGTCAAAAGCACAAGCCTTGGGGTTAAGGACCCTGAAAGCCCTGCTGTGTGGGAAGGACAGGCCCCCGCCTCTGGGCTCCCCCACCCCAGACAGAGTCGGGGGAGCTGGCCCCCCAACCACACAGGGGCCATGCAGAGCACTCCCCGGCCAGGCCCCTGCCCTGGGAGAGACCCGAGCCTGAGGCTGGCAGTGGCTCCTCCGGCAGCTGACCGGCCCTGTGAGCTTGGGTCGGTCCATTTACCTTTCCAGGCTTCAGTGCAGATGACAGTGGAACCCACGCTAGGGTGATTGTGAAGGTTAAGTGCATTCATCACGTGAGGTGTTTGGAATAGCTCCTGGCTCTTTGTAAACACTCAGTACATATTAGCACATATTTATTGCCATTATTCTTGTTACTGTTATTCCTATCATTGTTACAACGCCCCCTCCAAACGTCGGTAGGGACTCCTGCCCTCTGCGGGCCCCAGACTCGCCCCCGGGAACTGGGCGGTCCAGCAGAGCCCCACCAGGGTCAGCAGCAAGGACCGACGTGTCAGCAGCCGACCATTCCTGGGGTCACAGATGGGGGTGGGGGGCTGGGAAGATGCCCTTACCCACCCTCGATCACCCTGTCTTTGTCCTCTGCCCCTGGACAGTGTGTGTGCCTGGAATCCGTATGCGGGACCATCCCTCCCTGGGCTTGCTCTCCCCACAGTCCAGGGACGCCTGCAGTTCCCAGGGGTGCACAGAGCGTCCGGGGCAACACCCGCCTGGTGTACCTCACCGCACCTTGCAGTGCTGAAGCCAGGATAACTTCACGTGGGTTGTTGCGGTCAGCCCACAGTCAGCAGCCACACTCAAAGCCAGTTACAAGGAGTTTCAGCATTCACTTCCCCACCAGCACCTGAACACACCGGGCCTCCAGTGCCCTTGAGCGGTCAGAGTTGAGAGGAGTCCGTTTATGTTCCTCAGTAATTTTAATGTAAGCAATCGCTCCTCAGTTACGTGTTTTCACAGTTAAGAGTTGTGTTTTTTCCTAGAAAGCTAGAAGCGGGGTGTCCTGGGTTCCAGCAAACCTGAGCCACACTTGCCAGCCTCTCCCTGGCCCTCCCTCCCCCACTGCAGTTCCCATCCAGGTTTGGTAACTTACCAAGTGCCCTGCTCCTGAGGAAACTGCTTTTCCTACTCATAAAGTGGACAGAGCTGTTCTCCACTCCCAGTGGTGACTCCTCATCTCCCCGTCAGCCCCTGCCCACGGTCACTCACTTCCTGCCTCTACAAAGCCCCAGCGCAGGGCCAGCAGGACAGGCGAGGCCCCCCCCTCCCGCCGGCCGACAGCTGCCACGAGCCGTCTGGGTAAGCTGTGGCTGGCAGGGACCCTCAGGCTTTCCTGGTGCCCTCAGTCACCTGCTGGGGGCCGTCCACCTGGAGCTCTTGCCAAGTTCGCGTTCAGCCCTGAGACCTGCCCACGGTCACTCACTTCCTGCCTCTACAAAGCCCCAGCGCAGGGCCAGCAGGACAGGCGAGGCCGCCCCCTCCCGCCGGCCGACAGCTGCCACGAGCCGTCTGGGTGAGCTGTGGCTGGCAGGGACCCTCAGGCTTTCCTGGTGCCCTCAGTCACCTGCTGGGGGCCGTCCACCTGGAGCTCTTGCCAAGTTCGCGTTCAGCCCTGAGTCAGCCCCCCACCCCACTTCATCCAAATGCCTGGTCCTTTCCTGGGTTGTCCACCCGGCTGAGCTCAGGGAAGGGAGATTCTTCAAACTGAAGCTCAGCAAACCAGGATGAGGAAAGGGAATGCAGTTGCCAAAACCATCGTATATGTAAAGTTAAGTGTTTAAACAATTGTGGTAAAATGTGTCTTTATATATGGCCAATATCTTAACCACGTTTAAGAGCTCAGTGGCATTCCATTCGGATTACTGTGGCACCATCACCGATGTTCATCCCCCAGACTTTTTCATCTTCCCAAACTGAAGCTCTGCACACGTGAGACACTCACTCCCTCGCCTTCCCTGGCTTCTGCCTTCCCACTTTCTATCTCTATGAGCCTGACTGTTCTGGGAACCTCACAGAAGTGGAATCACACAGTGTTTGTCTTTCTGATTGGCTTATGTCACGCAACAGCAAGTCCTCCAGCTTCATCCACAGCAGGCGTCAGAATTTCCTTCCTTTTCAGGGCCAAATAATGTTCTGTGTATACGCGCCGCACTTAGCTTATCATTTACCCATCGATGTGCACTTGGGTTGCTTCCACTTTTTGCTATTGGAAATAGCTTGCTATGGACAAGGATGTACAGATACCTGCTTGAGAATCTGCTTTCAATTCTGTGGGGTATATTCACAGTGGTGGTATTGCTGGATAGTTCTATGTTTAATTTTTTGAGGAATCACCATACTGTTTTCCACAGCAGCTGTGCCATTTTACATTCCCACCAACGATGCTCAAGGGTTATAATTACTCCACTTCCTTGCCCACAGTTGTTATTTTCTATGTGTTTGTTTTTTAATAACAGTCATCCTGATGGGTGGGAAGCAGTGTCTCACTGTGGCTTTAATCTGTATTTCTCTAATGACTAGAGATGCTCAACACCATCTCTCGTTTTTCTTAGCCATTTACATGTCTTCTTTGGAGAAGTGTTTATTCAGGCCCTCTGTCCATTTTTTAGTCGGGCCGTTTAGTTGTTCTGGTTGAGTTGTAGGAGTCCTTTTTATATTCTTAATATTAGTCTCTCATCAGACACATGATGTGATTTGCACACATTTTCTCCCATTCTGTGTGTTGCATTTTCTTTCTTTTGATAGTGCTCTTTAATGCATGAAAGGTTTCATTTTGATCAAGTCCAGTTTATCTCCTGTTTCTCTTATTGCCTGAATTTTGGATGTTGTAGCCAAAAAATTATTGCCAAATTCACTGTTGTGAACCCTTTTCCCAATGTTTCTCTCCAAGAGTTTTATCACCACTGGGGCTTTTTAAAAATACAGACTCCACATCTCCTGCACCACCTACCATAGCAGATTCTCTGCTCCCTCAGGAAGCTGTGTTTTTCTGACACTTCTCGGTGATTTGGGGCTCGTCCGTCTTCCCTTTAAGTTAAGAAATCTTCTGCATGGTAACCCCAGCAGCATCTCTCAGCCTTTATTTGCGTGGGCACAGTGACAGGGGGCTTGTGCGAGCACGCTCAGTTACTTCAGTCGTGTCCGACTCTTTGTGACCCCGTGGACTGTAGCCCACCAGGCTCCTATGTCCATGTGCTTCTCCAGGCAAGAGTACTGGAGTGGGTTGCCGTGACCTCCTCCAGGGCATCTTCCCCACTGACGGATCGAACTCCTCACATCTTCTGTGTCAGCAGGCAGGTTCTTTACCACTAAGAAGCCCAATGGGGGACTTATTCACCTGCAAATAGAGTAAGATGACAAAAAGTGTCTAAGTATTCCCCTGCAGTCTGCTTCACTTCTGCCTGGTGACTCGGATGTTGTCATCTCAGAAAGAAAAATGGAGTGCGAGCCTCCATCCAGACATTTTGTTGTGTTCTCAATGCCAGCTCAGAGTCTCTTCTCCAAAGACAAGCTCGTTCACTTCAGTACTTCCTGAAATGACCCAGATATCCAGCTCGCTGTTGTTCTCGTCACCCCGCTGTGCAAGCAGGTCGTCAACCACCCCTTAACACTGGGCACCTGGACTGACCCACCTGCCGTGGTCCTGCCGGGATGATGCTCAGAGCACAGCGCTGTGGACAGTGTCGGCCTGGCCCTGTCCTCGGGGATGGTGCGGGACATTTCTGCCCCTGAGAAAAGGTCTAGGATTTCATCTAAGGAAGGAAATGACCTCCACAGCCATCTGTGGTCCCCAGGGTTGGGGCTGGAGAGGGAGAGCTGGGACCTGTAGAGGGGAAAGCAGGCTCCGGGTACGGGGTG